CTCCTCCTACTCCTCCTCCTCCTCCTCCTCCCCTCCTCCTCCTCCTCCTCCTCCTCCTCCTCCTCCTCCTCCTCCTCCTCCTCCTCGCTCCTCCTCCTCCTCCTCTCCTCCTCCTCCTCCCTCTCCTCCTCCTCCTCCTCCTCCTCCCTCCTCCTCCTCCTCCTCCTCCTCCTCCTCCTCCTCCTTCCTCCTCCTCTCCTCCTCGTCGTCCCTCGTCGTCCTCGTCGTCCTCGTCGTCCTCGTCGTCCTCGTCGTCCTCGTCGTCGTCGTCCTCGTCGTCCTCGTCGTCCTCGTCGTCCTCGTCGTCCTCGTCGTCCTCGTCGTCCTCCTCCTCCTCCTCCTCCTCCTCCTCCTTTCTCCTCTTTTCTCCTCCTCCTTTCTCCTCCTCCTCCTCCTCCTCCTCCTTCTCGCCCCCTGCCCATTCACCCGGTGGTCTCATGAACGATTTCGAGCTTGGACCCGAAACGCCACACAACTGAAAAACTATACTCCGGGGCGCTGGCGCCATCCGCGTCGGACGGCCCCGAGGCCCGGTGACCGGCACCCCGGGGGCAGGAATCGTCGGCAAAACCGTCGGCTGAAAGGAGCACGTCGGCTGAACCGGCAAAAGCGGCAAAACCGTCGGATCGTCGGACCGGCACCGGCAAAACCGTCGGCTGAAAGGAGCACGTCGTCGGAGACCGGGTGCCCCTCGAGGAGGACCAGAGGCGACGAGAGGGGCGAACAGCCCAGGGGAGAGCTATACAGGGAAGCGAACTCTATACACCGACGCTTTTCGCGACCCTGCGCTGAAATTCGCACCGTAACGCGGATCCTGGTGTATACGGGATCCTGGTGTATACATTTGTCGTTGCTTCCCTTGGAAAACGGGGGAAAAGTACACACCACGCCACCCCGACGTCGTCCCCGACCTTCAATCCAGGGATTGAAAAAAACAGCCCGCCACTGGTAATGTATATGTTCCAATTTCCTTCGCAAAGGCTCCCGGGCGAATGCGTGTAATGCCTGCCCCTGGGCTATTCGCCCCTATCGTCGCCGCCGAGAGTTTGGACGCCCGAAATGGGCACGGAGAAAATGGGTAGAATGTCCAACAACAAATGCTGTTCAACACCGACAGCGGCCGCTGTTGGGCAGGCGCTTCCTTGTCTTCACTGGACAACGTCCGCGGCGGCGCGGACAGCGAGTCCTGTTCGAAATGAACAAGAACTGCTGTTGGACATTGTATCCATTCTTTCCGTGCCCATGTCGTTCGTGCCGCCGAATGTGTGTTTTCGGGTCTGGCCGGGACCCCAGGTAAGCGGACCCGGCCAGTAGTAGGGTCAAGCTGGGCCTGTCCCTCTGCAGGAGGAGTGTCCAAAAACAGTGAGCACATAGTCGGGGGACGATTTCGTGGGCATTTTTTAAAACAATCTGAAATATTCTCGCCCCTGGGCTATTCGCCCCTATCGTCGCCGCCGAGAGGAGCGCGCCGCGGCAGATTCCCCCGCGCCCGGGGTGCCGCTCTTGCGCGCGCCGGGCGTCTCGCCCCACCACTCGAGGCGGAGCCCGTCCCTGCTCGGGGGCCGCCAAGAGGCTGAGGGGGCCCAGGGACACACAGACAGATACACACAACTCCCTGGATTCCCTACATACACAAATATATACACACATATATACATATATATATATATCCATATATATATAGACTCACAGATAGATGCACCTAGATACTCCCAGGATAGATACATATATATATATATATATATATACATATATACACAGATAGATACATAAAGGTTGAAGGGGCCCAGGGACACACAGACAGGTGGCACGCGTGCCCTGGCTCCTGCACCAAGGAGCTGCGAGGGACGGGAGGCTCTCGCCTCCTTCCTCCAGGAGTTTCCTTCTGTGGCCAGGGGGGGAAGACGAGCGACGAACGAACGAACGTCGACGACGAACGAAAATAAAGAGGTACGAGCTCCAGAACACAGCTGTGCAAGAGAATATATACACACAACGCCCAAGATCCCCTATATCTTCACACATTTCCTGGGTTTCTGTCTTCCCCCCCGCTTACTACATTTACCCATGCAGTCGGCCTTGATTGGACAGGACACGCGAGCGGACACAACACACCTCCGAGGGCCACATCGCCATAGTAGTGTAAGAAGGCACGTGTCGCGAGGCACAGGACACAAGGGTACCCTTGAGCTGGCAGGGTCGACCTACTAATCCGGGCCGACTGTATTTTCCTGGGAGTCGACGATTAATTGTGTCTGTGTGTTTCTTTCCCTCCTGACAGGTGTCCCTGGCCCTAGGTGGGCGACAGAAACAAGGGGCGTCTTACGCGAGATGGTATGGCGACCTTGCGCGGTGGCTTCTGCTGGCCGCCAGCGCGGCACGCCACATCGGAGACGGCGGCGCCTACGCTTAGGTCGGGCATATCCCCCTACAGGCCTACAGGCAAATAAAAAATACCCCCAAGATTTTCCGAAATTGTCAAAAATGGTAAAGAAAAATCGTCCCCAGACTATTGTTTGACTATTTGTGGGTATTCCTCCTGTAGAGGGACAGGCCCGACTTAAGCTTGCGCGCGACCTCACGCGGGCAGCCTGCGCTGCCAATGTCGGTGCTGTCGGCCGCGTTCGTTTGCGTCGCCCCGGTGTCCCCAGCTCCGCGCACTTTGCTTTGCCCCGCCCCATCCCAGGCCAGCTTTAAGTCGGGCCGACGAAAAACAAAAAAACAAAATCATCAAAAAATAGTCCAGAAATAATCTGGGGACTATGTCTTGAATATTTGTTGTGCCTTTTGTGAATTTCTTGGGGTATTTTTTGTTATGCGTCGACCCCCTGTAGGGGGACACGCCCGACATAAGGTCAGCTCGACATCGGGCGCAGCTCTGCACGCGACCTCAGATCCGCAGAACAAGTGACTGGGTGGCCGGTGACGCTGACTGGCCGGTTGGCAAGGCATCGCCCTGGCACCCGCCCCCACGCAGCGGCAACCGATAACCGCCCCCCAGCAGCTGCTGTTCCACCTCCAGAGGGGGAGGCGGCGCGTGCGCTTCGCAGGAGGCCGGTGGCGTGATCGCAGAGCGCAACAAACCTGCACGGTGGCAGTCGGGCTCCGACTTGCCACCTGCGCGGCCTATAGGAGGAGGAGAAGGGGAAGGGGGAGAAGGAGGCGGAGGAGGAGGCGGAGGAGGAGGAGGAGGGAGGGGGAGGAGGGGGAAGAGGAGGAGGAGGAGGAGGAGGAGGAGGAGGAGGGGGAGGAGGGCAAGCTAGGTGCGCTCGCGTCATATCTGACATCCTACCCCTCCCTCCCATCCCTTACTATGGCGCAGATCCCCTCTCTACTCGCACAGTCGGATGTCGAGCAGGGCAATGATCCCGAAAGGGTGCGTGATGCATTGTAGAGCACGGCGTGGCATGGTGTAGAAGAGCACCGCAAAGCGTAGTTTCAACCTAGCATTGCATTGCATGCCGTGGCATGGCACGGGAAATGACGCCAGCGCTGCAGCGGGAGCACGAATCGAAACGAGCGGAAGCGCGGAAATGAGGCCAACGCTGCAGCGGGAGCACGATTCGGAACGAGCGGAAGCACGCCGGAATCGGCCCGGGAGGCTTCCCGGGCGCCAGAAGCAGGAATTCAGCATTTTCACAAGAAAAATGTGTATTGGAATGGCCTTTTTTCGGCGCCGCCTCGGAACTCGATTTATCGGCGCTGGCCGGAACCGGCTCCGGACCCGGCCCAGGCGCTGGCCCGGGCGCCGGCTCGGGCGCCGGCCCGGGCGTCGGAATCGGCCCGGGAGGCCTCCCGGGCGCCAGAAGCAGAAATTCAGCATTTTCAAAAGAAAAATGTATATTCGGCGCCGCCTCGGAACTCGATTTTCCGGCGGCGGCCGGGACTGGCTCCGGACCCGGCCCGAGCGCCGGCCTGGGCGCCGGCTCGGGCGTGCAGCACGGGCGCCGGCGGAAATGATGCCAGCGCTGCAGCGGGAGCACGATTCGGAACGAGCGGGGCCCGAAAATGAGGCCGGCGCCTCAGCGAGAGCAGCATTTTGGAAACAAATGCAAGCGAAAGCCCAACTCCAAGGAAACCTGTGTGTAAAAAAACAGTACGCGGGGGGTGGGGGGTCGGCTACTCCCTTCCGTCATCTGGGAAGAGCGAGAGAATAGTATTCATATTGAGTAAGTGTGGGGGGGGGGGGGGGGGGGGGGGGAGGAGGAGGAGGAAGGGAGGGAGGAAGGAGGGAGGAGGAGGGCGGAGGAGGGGAGGAGGGGGGGGAGAGAGGAGGAGAGGAGGAGGAGGGCGGATGAAGGAGGAGGAGGAGGAGTAGGAGGAGGAGGGGAGGTAGGAGAGGGAGGATGATGAGGGAGGAGGAGGAGGAGGAGGAGGAGGAGGAGGAGGAGGAATCAGAGAAACTATGGATTCAGTTTGTGTCGGGGTTTCGGTTTTCCCCTATGCCTGGCGGTCCATAGGGGCCAGACGGATCGCGAGGAAGCGGACGAGGAGGAGGAGGAGGAGGAGGAGAGGGAGAAGGGGCCGTCTGTGGTTGTGGTTCCTCGCGTTTCTCCGGCCTGCCTCTCTCCCCTCCCCCTCCTCCCTCTCTCCCTAAACCCCCCTCCCTCCTCCTCCCCCCGCCCCTCCCCCCGAAATGGGACGAATTACAACCGACTGGTCCCAATTCCAACCGTTCGGAGCGAATTGCAACCGTACATGGGACCAATTACAACCATGGGATCTTCAGAAGTACTTCTTTCTTATTCAGAAGTACTTCTTTCTTCTTCAAAAGTATTTCTTTCTTCTTCAGAAGTCCTTTTCATTCCTTAGGATTCCTTTGGGTTCCTTATGATTCCTTAGGACCCCTTAGGATCCTTAGGATTCCTTAGGGTCCTTGGGATCCCTTAGGATCCTTAGGATCAGGACTCCTCCGGATTCCGTCAGGAATCCTTAATCCATAGGAATCCAGAAACAAATCCGTAGGGGGTGCGCTGTGGGGGCCTTCTTGGCGTCTCTTT